ACACACTCTTCTCACGGCACACAAAAATTAAAGTTTCTTATCACTGGCGTTTTTAAGCGCGCAGTGCAATTCACCGCCATGGTGAGCCGGGTCGACAGCAAGTTGGGTCACCCAAGAACACAGTTTGATCAAAATATTGACTTATATAAAAGGGTCCGGTTTTAAGTGCTCATTACACGGGACGAAAAGTCTTTTTGGCTGGCAGAAAATTTGATACTGAAAAACTTTTTACCAAGCCTTCGGTCTGTTAAGAAGCAAAACCTGCCACCCGAAAGCGGCCAGTTCGTGCCGCTGCCGCGAATCGCGCAAATGAAGTAAAGTAATAAAACAATTTCGTCTAAATTCAAATGCTTTTTACACCTACCGAAGAATTTCATTAGCTTTCAGAAAATATACACTTCGGTAAGCGTAAAGATATTTTTCGTTGCGTTAGAGAGCGAAACAGGCGAAGCCGTAGGGCCGGCTTCGCGCTCGGGCCGGAATTCGATCGTCCAAGATCAGGCAAAAATTAAAAATAAAAAAAAAACTACTCGCTTTAGAAGAGTCTCTCTTTCTGTGCTCTTAGCGCACACCTTTTTTTAGCGGCACACGAAATTAAGAATCTGTAGCTACGTTTTTTATTACCTTTTTTAAGCTTAAATCGACCAGCCGCTCTTAGCGCCCGAAAACTAGTTTCGGCTTCCAAGTAAGCGGTTAGATCGAAATATGAAGAAGAATAACTCCGTTTCAATTCAAATGCTTTTTACACCTATTGAAGAAGTTTATTAGCTTTCAAAAAATATATACTTCGATATGCGTAAAAATATTTTTCGTTGCGTTAGAGAGTGAAACAGGTGAAGTTGTAGAGTCCGGCGCGCGCTCGAGCCGCGATTCGATCGTCTAGGATCAGGCAAAAATTAGAAATAAAAAGAACTACTCGCTTTAGAAAAATCTCTTTTTCTGTGCTTTTAGCGCACACTTTTCTCTAGCGGCACACAAAATTAAGAGTCTTTATCTAGCTTTTTTTAAACTTAAATCGACCAGCCACCCAGAGCGCCCGAAAACTAGATTTGGCTTCCAAGTAAGTGGTTAGATCAATATATGAACAAAAATAACTCTGTTTAAAATCAAACGCTTCCTACACCTATTGGAGAAGTTCATTAGCTTTCGGAAAATATATATTTCGATATGCGTAAAAATATTTTTCGTTGCGTTAGAGAGGGAAACATGTGAAGCTGTAGAGTCCGGCGCGCGCTCGTGCCGCGATTCGATCGTCTAAGATCAGGCAAAAATAAAAATAAAAGTACTCGCCTTAAAAGAGTTTCTCTTTTTTGTGCTGTTAGTACACACTTTTCTTTCGCGGCACACGAGATTAAAAGCCTGTATCTACGTTTATCATTGCATTTTTTAAACTTAAAATAAGAACACTCGAATTTAAAAGCAAGTTATTTGATACAACCGTGGCTCTAAAAAGAAAAACGCTGCAACTCGAAAACACAACACTTTGGAGTATGGGCTCCCAACGGCTAAAAACCACGCGAATATATCCTTTACATACGCGAGCGATGTGCAATATTTAGGAAGGTCACTCGTGCCCTCAAAAGCAATGAAATACAATGTTTTTTTTCACCGAAACAAAATAAACGACATCCGACTGTGGCTACAAGAAGCCAAGTTCGACTGCACAACAAGAAAAAAGACATACTCTTTGCAAACATGCGCGATGCAGAAGCACTGGGTACTCACATATTTCTTGAAAAGAGAGACACGGGAGTTGGAAGTCATCGAGAGACGGCCGTTTTGCAGGGATGAGTATGGCCCTCAAAAGGGCCGTTTGTACATACAGCAGGGAGATAGCTCCTGGGTGTTACTTGGAACTGGTGTACTTGGTGACAGCCTTGGTGCCCTCGGACACCGCATGCTTTGCCAGTTCACCCGGCAGCAGGAGCCTCACAGCTGTCTGGATCTCCCGACTCGTGATGGTCGAGCGCTTGTTGTAGTGAGCCAGCCGAGACGACTCTGCTGCGATGCGCTCGAAGATGTCGTTCACGAAGCTGTTCATGATCGACATGGCCTTGCTGGACACTCCGGTGTCGGGATGGACCTGTTTGAGCACCTTGTAGATGTAGATGCTGAAGCTCTCCTTCCTCTTGCGCCTCTTCTTCTTCTTGTCGGTGGCACGCACATTTTTCTGTGCCTTGCCCGCCTTCTTCACTGCTTTTCCGCTCGGTTGGGGGGGCATCCTCGCGCGACTTGTCTTCGGGAGAAGATCGACGTTGTTACTCGCAAAAAGATGGCGAAACAACAACTGGGGCAACCTGAAATTTTCGTTTTCTTTGCTCTTTTTATAGGTTTTCACAGCATTCTGAAAAATTTGCTCCGATTGGCCAGCATTCTAGAGCGCGGGAAACAGTGCGCTGTGATTGGAGTACGCCCAAAATAAAGCTTCGCGATTGGTTGCTGCGCGAACCAATGAGCAAGCAGTTGAAACTACAATTTTTTGGGAGAGGGTTTTGGGAGAGGAGTGCTATGAAGCAGAGGCAGTGCAAGGCGAAAACGCGCTCTTGCAGCGCCCCCAAAGCGGAGAGGACTGGCACTTCCTTTGATTTTCTGCTTCTCGATGCGCTGACTCCCTCACTCACTCAGTGTTCGTTGGTTTGTTCGGTTGTCCACTTCTCACCTCCACCAAGATGTCTGGGCGCAGAAAAGGAGGCAAGGCAAAGGGCAAGAGCAAGACCCGTTCCAGCCGCGCGGGGCTCCAGTTTCCCGTGGGAAGGATCCACCGACTACTGCGAAAGGGCAACTACGCGGAGCGAGTAGGTGCCGGTGCCCCCGTCTACTTGGCGGCCGTACTCGAGTACCTGGCTGCCGAAGTGCTCGAGCTGGCAGGAAACGCGGCCAGGGACAACAAGAAAACTAGGATCATCCCTCGACACCTGCAGCTGGCCATTCGCAACGACGAAGAGCTCAACAAGCTGCTGTCCGGCGTTACCATCGCGCAAGGAGGTGTCCTGCCCAACATCCAGGCCGTCCTCCTTCCCAAGAAGACCGAGAAGAAGGCCTAAACCATCCCGCGGCATCCGCTACAGAAAAACGGTCCTTTTCAGGACCACTCATGACTTGAGTACAGGATACTCATTTCCGTGCGCTAGTCTTCCGTGTCTCTAAACGCTCGGGTATGTGCATTTCAATTTCCTTTTTGTGCAATGCCGACAGTGTTTCTCTTTCATCACCTACAGGCCTTGAATGCCACTCTTAGGCATTCTCCCATGCATAATATTTACGCTGCGTTTAATGCCAAATTCTTTCACGTGTGCGAATTGCCCGAACAAGACTTGCTGTCGGGTGCAAAGGCCAGCATTGCTTGTTATTTGAACTCGTAAAACCACCGCTGCACTGCCTCGCTTTGAGAGGATTTGAAGCTGTTTCTACGAGAGTCAACAATCGGAGCAGCATTTCCCCGAAACCGGCAGAGGGCAATAAATGTTGTGGACATCCCTCAAAAACAGATAATTACTCCACGGGTTTTTGTTGGTCGAATCTATAATCGTGATATTCGCTGATTGCTAGAAAATGAACCCTGTAATGTCTCGGGAAAGGTTTTTTTCTTCTTTATTTATTTCATTCAACAACACTTTAGAAAACAAGGAACACATGAAGGAATCGTTGGAAGCAACTGCGAACGGAGCACTTGGCACAATGCAAACTAGTTCAAAATGGGAGAATAAATAGAAAGTACTCACAGCTTTTGAACTCCTGCACTTGGAACAAGTCAGCATCGGAGATTGAGACACGGGAGGACGTCGCTTTACACATGTCCGAAAAGCATGTCTGATGTGGCCCTGAAGAGGGCCGCTTTTGTGGCGTTGCCTGCCGCTTCCAAAAAAGCGACATTAAGCGCGTTCACCGCGGATGCGACGAGCCAGCTGGATGTCCTTAGGCATGATGGTTACCCGCTTGGCGTGGATGGCACAGAGGTTGGTGTCTTCGAAGAGACCGACCAAGTAGGCCTCGCTGGCCTCCTGCAGGGCCATTACAGCCGAGCTCTGGAAGCGGAGGTCCGTCTTGAAATCTTGCGCGATCTCCCGCACTAGCCTCTGGAAGGGCAGCTTGCGGATGAGCAGCTCAGTCGACTTCTGGTAACGACGAATCTCACGCAGCGCGACCGTGCCCGGCCTGTAGCGATGCGGCTTCTTGACTCCACCGGTTGCAGGAGCACTCTTCCGGGCGGCCTTCGTAGCCAGCTGCTTGCGCGGTGCTTTTCCTCCCGTGCTCTTGCGGGCGGTCTGCTTCGTACGGGCCATTCCGAAACGTTGGGACAATAAAACGAGAGAGCTAGCAAACAGCAACACACCTCGACTCCTGACGACCAACTGCCTCGTTCGTTCGTAAGCGTTGAAAAGGAAATTGTGTATAGGAAAAAGAGTCAAAGTTGTACGCGCACGAGGCGCATTTGTCACTGACTCTTGGGGGTGGGGTGAGGGGAGAATAGTGGGGGGTGAGTGGGTAGGACAGGGATAGAAATAGAAAAGGGGTTGGGCGTCAGGAAGGCTGTCTTACCGTCTCGCAGCTCGCCAGTTCTTTGTCCGATGAACGCGCTCAACTAATAGTGGGGGAAGGGAATAGGGGCTCCAGCTCTGGTGGCTGGCACCGCGCGGTGTCCGGAGATCAAGGCGATCTCCGGGGGCGACCGCGCCGTGGAGGGAGGCATCAACTTTGCTGCGCCGGCGCCTCGAAGAGACCGTCTCTTCGACGCGCGCCGGAGCTGTTATTCGGTTGTGGGGGGGGGGTACCGGAGCGCTCCCGACCCCCGCCGCCTGCGGGCGTCCTCAGCGCTCCCAGCGGGAGGGAGAAGAACCTCTCGGCCAGCCAGCCGCAGCCACCTGGTGGAGGGGCGGACAACTATCCTCTCCATGGCGCGTCTGGCAACCGAGGGGGGGAAAGGAGGTGCCCCCATCGTGTCGGGGAGGCCGACGCCGGTCGTCCGCCCGCGGCCTCCATCTTGCGCTCTCCTCTGGGTCCGGTTGGGAGAGGAGGTCGCTGTGCAGGCAGCTCGGTCTCTCCCTCCCATCTCCTGCAGCCCGGCTGTGCTTGTTCGTGTCGGGGAGGCCGGCCGCCGTCGTCCGCCCTCGGCCTCCATCTTGCGCTCTCCTCTGGGTCCGGTTGGGAGAGGAGGTCGCGGTGCAGGCAGCTCGGTCTCTCTCTCCCATCTCCTGCAGCCTGGCTGTGCTTGTTGGGGGCGAGGGGGCTCTTGCTTATCGCCTCTGCGGCCGGGTGCCGTTGTTCTCTGTCTAGCGTGGTCTTTTGTTTCCTCGTCGCCGGCCTGTCAAGTTCGCTCCGCGCCCGGTCGCCCGTGCGGCCGTCCGGTGCAGATTTCGCCGATGGTCGCTCTCCTACAGCACCGCGGTGAGTCCTGTGTTTACCAGGAAATCTATGAGTGCCCTGAGCGCCTTCTTTTTCCCTTGTGCAGGTCCTGTGGGTCTGAGGATTTCTTCCAGTGCTTCGGTTGGGAGCCCCAGTGAGCGGAAAGTCTCCAGCATCGTTTCCCGATCCTCGGAGTATTCCCGGCATTCCAGGATTGTGTGCTCGGCATCCCCGAGCTCTCCGCAGCTGTCGCAGTTCGGGTCGTCACGCCGTCTGAGCCTGTGCAGTTGTTCAGCTGTCCAGGCGCTCCCCGTGCGGAGTCTGTGCAAGATCGCCGCCGTCTGTCTTCCCAGAGAGCGGGGGATTTTGGCCGGTCTGTCTCCGGCTGCCAGGCGATCGTCCGGGTGCCGTGCCGCGATGTTCCTTGCGACCAGGAGCTTGGCATCGTCGAACTTTGCGACCCCGATCACCGGAACGCCTTCCCCGTCGTGTGCCCTGTCAGCCAGGGTGTCGGCCGCCTCGTTGCCTCCAATCCCGCAGTGCGCCGGCACCCATTGGAAGTTCAGGCAGTGGCCCTGCTCCGACAGACGTCCCGCCGTCATCGCAACTTTTCTGGCCAGTGGTGGGGCCCTCTCCAGCTCTGCCAGACGCGTCAGCGCTGCCCTCGAGTCCGAGCAGACAACGCAGCTCACTGGGTCCTCCGCCGTGTCTCCGATGTGGACGAGGGCAGCCACCGCAAGTCCCAGTGCCGCGAGCTCCGCCGTCGTGCTCGACGCGTGGAAGCCGAGCTTGCCGCTGAGACTCCGCCTGCCGTCTTCCAGCACCACTGCAGCCGTGGATGATCCGTCGGACGGCCGTACCGAGCCGTCTGTGTAGACTCCTTTGAAGCCCGGGTAGCTGTGCTCCAGATGGTGTTCGGTCAGCTGCCTCGCCACCGCAGCGTTTACTCTTCTTCGGGACGTCATCCCCTCTACTCCGAGGGCAACCCGGAGCGGCTCCGGGCCGTGATGCAGCGCTGGGAGTGGTGGCAGTGGTGGTGGTTTGCCTACGATCTCGTCCAGCCTGTGTAGCATCTGCCCCAGCTCCGACTCCGGTCTCCCTCGGATGCTCTGCAACAGTGACTTGGTTGACGTGCAGCCGCTCATTCGGATGAGGTGTCTCAACGCTCGATGCTCTAGCTGGTGCTCGACTGTGGCCGCGTTCGCCTCGACGAGTGTCGGCTGTGATGGTGCTCCCCTTGGGATCCCGAGGCAGATCCGCAGTGCCACCCTTTGGGCTCTTTCAAGCATCTCCAGGTGTCTCGGCATCAGTGAGGCCAGGGGGAGTGCGTAGAGGGGGCGTGACAGTACCAGGCCGTGATACAACTGCAACATCATGGTCTGTGATGTGCCCCACGAGTTGCCGCAGAGCCTCCGAAGGATATTAGTATGCTGCCGCATACCCCTCACCGCCTGGGTCGCCGCCGGTCCGAAGGATAACCGCGAGTCGAGCTGCATCCCCAGGTAAGTCATGATGTTCTTCTTGTTTACTTGCTTGTTGTTTATGAAGATTTTGGGCTGGAACCGTCTTGTTTTTTCCGCGTACTTCATGAAGTTAGTTTTTTCCGCGGATACTTCCAGTCCCAGCTGTTTGAGATGATAGACGACGTTGTTGAGGACTCGCTGGAGCTCCTCAACGGCCTTCTTTCTCTTGTACGGTGTTGAGACCGTCCACAGTGCCACATCGTCCGCGTAGACAGCCATGTTGATCTCGTGTTCCGAGTATTGGTCGCGTTGCATCCCCTGGGGTAGCGAGGAGACTGCCGCGCAGAAAAGGAGGGGGCTCAACACACTGCCCTGAGGGACACCTCCTGTTGTTGTTTTGGGTTGACTGCAGTGACCCCCCACCTTCACTCGCGATGTACGTCCGGCGAGAAAGGCCTTGATGTATTTGAGCGGCCGGCCGACAACTCCCAGCCGTCGCAGAGCTCCGGTGATTGTAGCGTGAGGGATGGCGTCAAAGGCTTGCTTGATGTCCAGCAGGATGACTACCGCCGACTCGCCGCACTCCCTCGCCTCCTCCAGTGAACTGATCAGATCCCCGATGGCGTCAGCTGTGCACCTTCCCGGTCTGAAGCCGGAGAAACAATCGGGCAGGGCGTGCGTTTCCTCGAGGTGGTAGAGGAGCCGTTTGTTTACCATTCTCTCCAACGTCTTGCCGAGGCAAGACGTCAGAGAGATCGGCCGGTACGATTTCGGGTCCTCGCCCGGCTTGCCCGGCTTGAGGAGTGGTATGATGGTGGCCTCCTTCCAGTCGTCGGGAATGTCCGCTGTGCGCCAGACTTCGTTGTAGATCTTGAGGAGAGAGGCGAGGGAGTCCGCGTCTAGGTTCTTGATTGCCTGCGACGTCACCCTGTCTGGTCCCGGCGCCGTGCGGCGCCTGGTCGTTGCATTGATTGCGTGTTTGAGTTCCCTGATGGTGAAGTCCTCGTCTGGGAACCTCATCGGGGGGGCGTGGTGGTACCTCATAGGTGCCCAGCCTGGTGGCTTGGGACCCAGCACAGGGCGGGCAGGGGTAGCCAGAAATATGTCGGCGAGGAGTTCTGCCATTTCTTCTTCTGTGAGCTGTAGTTTGGCTGCCATGCACAACACCGGGCGCGTCGGGCCGTCCGTCCTTGCCAGGGCCCTCGCCATCCTCCATGCTCTTCCAGAACCCTTCGGGTCGCCGAAGGAGGCGCAGAGGAGCTGCCATTGCCTTCTTGCCAGTTTTTTCCCGTGTCGCCTGAACTTCGCGTCCAGGCGCCGGTACTCCACGATGTCTCGTGTTGACTTTGTGCGCCAGGATCTCCTCTGCGCCTGCCTTCTTTGGGCTCGTAGTCTCACCCACTTGAGGTCAGGGTTTGGTCTGAAGCAGGGCACCGAGATGGATTTGGTAGACTCCTCGAGGGCCTCCTTTATCAGCTTGGTGGTGAGGGGTTGTCCCGAGGCGGCCGCTGCCTTTAGCCGACTCCGGTATTCGTCCCAGTTCGTTACTGAGCATCTCTTTTGGGGGGCGCGGCCTGGTTTTCCGATGATGATGGGTCGGTGGTCGCTGCCTCCGCTGTCCGGAGCCGGAGTTGCCGTAATCCTTAGTCCTCTTGTTGCCAGCGTGAGGTCTATGACGCTTTCATTCGCGCTAGGTCCCACGTATGTTGGGGTTCCTTGTGTTAAATTTACAAGGTCCAGATCGTCGAGGATCGCCTGTAGGGCCGCACCCCGCTGCGTCGTCCTCCCGTCCCCCCACGACTCACTGTGAGCGTTGAAATCCCCGCAGATTATGCCCTCGCTGTCCGTGGGGATGTATCTGCGTATCTCCTGCAATTCTCGAGGGTTCCATTGCGAGCCGGTGACCCGCGGGGGGACGTAGGCGGACACCACCACGATGGGGCGACCCTGTATGGTCACCGCCGCCGCCGCGTATTCTGCAAGCTCTCCGCAGAGATCGTCGAGGTTTATCCGGTACTGCGGTAGTTCGTTCTTGATGAGCAGGGCCGCGCGTGGGTGTGCTCCCGGTCTTGCAGCTCTGCTTGTGTACAGTGCATAACCCGATAGGTGAATTTTCTGGGCGGGGGCCTTGGGCTCTTGAATGGCGATAATTTGGTAGTTTTTGCTGATTCCGGGTCCCTCGTTGAGTAGTTTTAGCTCTTGGATGTGCGCCTGTATGCCGTTGATGTTCCACTGTAGTATGCTTGGTAGGAGTTGTTGGGTTTGGTTGATTCTAATTTTTTTAGGCATGATTGGGTTGGGGGTTTGAATGCTGGATTTGGGTGGATTTAGGTTGACACGAGGCGGCGGATTAATCGGGCTGACTCCTTCACGGCTTGGCCAGTTCCTTCCTCGAGTAGCGGTACCAGCGCGTCAACAATCTTCATTAGCTGTGCGACGAGCTCGTGCATTTTCTCCTGTCGCTCGTCGTGGCCCTTGCCCCCTTGAGTTGGCTTCTCCCCGCGCGGGTGGCTTCCCCTGTCGCTGTCTCCTTGGTGACGGCGCTCACCTCTCTCTCTCCTCCCTCGCGTCGGGGCTCCTCCTCTCCCGGGGGATTCCCTCGTTTGTTGTTGTTCTGGCAGCTGCTGCCTCGTCATCGCCTCTCCGGCCTTGCGCTCGCCGTCCGACCTTGGGGGAGAGGGTGTAGTTGTCTGCGCTGCTGCGCTTGTCACTCCGGTTGTGGGCGTGTCTCCCAGCTGCGTGGGAGAGGGAAGAGGTTCCGCTGGGGTCGATGGCCGGTCCCATCGGGTTCTCCGCCGTCTCGGTGGGCGCTGCGGTAGTCCCAGCGGGGGCGAAGTGGGCGGGGCCTCACAGTTCTCCCTCGGTCGGCGTCCCGTGCGGATCTCCTCCTCCGTGTCGTTGCTTTCGCCGGCGTCCCCGCGTCGTCCGCTTTGAGAGCCGTGCCTGTTCGCTCTGCCGCGGAGGGTCGGTGGGGGTCCTTTGCTCCAGACACTGGCCCGTGGCTGTAGTCCGCTTGCTTCTCTGGAGGCCGCGCTCCAGTCCCCTCCGTTCCGGGCCGCGATTTCTGCTGTCGCCTTGGCGTGCTGGTAGGCCGGACAGCTTCGGTCGAAGGCTCCGTGGGGGCTGCCGCAGTTTGGACAGGTGGGGTTCTGTGTGCTCGGCACCTCTCCCGTGCCTTGCTTTGCAGGTTGTGCAGGCCAGTTGGTCTGTGCACGCCGCGCGAAGGTGGCCCAGTCGCCCGCATCCTCCGCACTGAGTCGGCCTCGCCCTCGGCTCCAGGACCGGGAGGCGCATGCCCCAAAGTTCCACGTGCCGGGGGCGGGGGCCGTCGAAGTGCAGTTGCAGTTTCCTGCCCTTGTTGAAGACCCGGGTCTGCGTGATGGGTGCTGCCGCCTGCAGACCCCCCTGGATGTGGTTTTTCCTCGACGGGAAGCGAGGACGGACCACCCCCTGGGTTCCCCGTTGTGGGATGTGCAGGTGAGTGCGGACCGTGATGTTTTGGACGACTGTTGTCCGCAGAAGCTTTTCGATGGCCGCTGGTTCTTGTATGTCTACTGCCGCCACGTTTTTTCGTGTGTTTACACGAACAGCCGTCGCCTGTCCCTCGCTGGCGAGCGACAGTGCTCTGGCTATCAGTATTTTGTTTCCCATATGGAATTGTCCAGATCCTGGGAGGGGGTGGACTAATACCGTGGTAGTCTCTCCTCGTTGGAGCCTGGCCATCTGGGCTGCCACT